CTTCAAGCAAAGATGCAAGGGCTTAAACTGGGAAAGGAAGGAGGGTTGTTGATGAGTTGGGTTTACCATGGTAGTAGCAGCAGTCCTCTTTGTTTTGATTTAAAGGGGGGGGGAGTTTAACCAATAAATAAAGCTCCTAACATTGAAGTCAAGGTCTGATCATCCCTGACTTCCTCATTTCTCAGTGTTCTTAAAATAGTTCCTTGGACATTAAACGTTTTGTAAACTATTGGATCTTGCCAACATACTATAGGGCATGGTTGGTAGATCTCAGATTAGTAGAATTTAGCTTGAGTGAACCATTCAACACAAAGACCTTAATGGATGAACATATTCCATTACCAGGCATAAGAGACAGGCAGCTTAAGAGAGCTGACAATGTTCAGCCCTGAGATAATATGGCTCTGGGCCAAGAAAGGAATCCAGCTTCATCAGAGAATTTATGGTGAGCTTTCTTAACACATAATAGAGATTTTTGTGTGTGTTTCCATTAGACTATTTTAAGCATTAACTTCAAATTTGTTCACGCTTAAGGGATTTTGCCTGCATGTGAATTAAAAGGGGACATTTTTTTTAAAAAAAGATTATTGAACTGCACTACCGCAAGGGGAAGAATTTCTGCTAAAAACTGAAAGGCCGATAACATGGACATTTCCTGGGTTTTAAAATCAAATCAACTTGTGCGGCACTACACAAAACCACTCAGACCATGATTTGTCCTCATTTACCGTACTTTAGTGGAGTGGCTACCTTGGTGTTGAGTAGGAGAAGCCTTTGGTTTAATTCAGTGATGGCCAAACTTGGCCCTCCAGCTGTTTTGGGACTACAACTCCCATCATCCCTAACTAACAGGACCAGTGGCCAGGGATGATGGGAACTGTAGTCCCAAAACAGATGGAGGGCCGAGTTTGGCCATCACTGGTTTAACTGATTGGTTTGGAACACAACATACTAATTTCACCATGTGATACAACTTCTTCCATTTTTTCCCTCTCTTCACAGTTACAAGGAATACGGAAATGCCTCCAAAAATAACTGAGGCCTTTACATATGGTTTAATCTGGTATGAGATGTCAATGGGCATGGCAAATCCAATTGAGACAATTGGTTCAGCAAGGGAAGCTTGAGAAATTCAATAATTGTGAATTCCAGTACAAACTGACTTAATCTGTACCTCCTGCAGCTTTGACTGGTCCTGAATGTCCTGGTGCAGTTCTCAAAGACATAATATGTTCCAAATAGGTTTGTTGGGGGGGGGGAAATAAATTTGGAAATGTTTCTTTTGAAAGAAAATAAAAATAGGCTTTAAATCTATTCAAATGCAAATTTTCATACAGCACTTAAAAAGAAACAAATGCAGAAATAGGATGGAATGTATTTATGCACAAACACAAGTGGAAGTGGAAAAGACTATGCCTATTGCTAACTTAAATTGGTGGCAGGGATTCCAGGTAAGACACTACAAACTGTTACTATTCACCATGACAACTTCCTATTGGTTAATCACTGACTCTGTTACACACACACACACACACAGAGAGAGAGAGAGAGAGAGAGAGAGAGAGAGATTCTTATTTTTAAATCTTGTTTATTATTATTGACATATTTTAATGTAAAGACAAGTTTTGGTTGATGCTGTTTCTCAATATTATATATTTGTTGGAAAAACACATACAATAAACTAGCCAACTAGCAATATAGGGATGGAGTAGAACCTTTAACGATGCAAAAAAGGCAGGGGAAAACAAATGATACTTCCTGTGAAAATAAGAGTATTGCAGGAATATTATCATCTGTGAAATACTGGAGGATATAAAATCCCACCAATCTGGATATATATCCACCAGCTATGTGTAGTTGCAACAATAGCTGCATTAAATCCCTTAGCAGTGTGCTCCACTGAAGTAGCATTGCTACCATTTATTTATACCCAGCCTTTCCACTATAAAAGCCCTCGAGGTAACTAACAAATGCAACTAAAAGCAACATCAAAGACGTCTCATATCAATGTCAAGGAGACTATTTCTTTTTTTAAAAAAGAGCAATCAAACCTGCATAGAAGAGCAGCAGAGAACAGAAGTTGTTAACATAAGGAAACATGTGGTCCTGGGCTGCAGCTCCCATCACCCCTGACCATTGGCCAGCAGAGGTGGGGCTTATAGGAGTTGGTATCTTAACAACAACTGAAAGGCCACTGGTTCCCCACTTCTGCATTGGAACCGTGCTCAGGCAAAAAGGCTGAACTTTGCCTGACATCCAAGAAAGAGCAATAAGAGGAGATCTCATTGCTCTGTGGTGCACTATCACAGAAGAGGCTTCCTAACGGGCAGCCACAAACCTGAATTCTAGATGGGAGTATCTACAGCAGAGCCTCAGCAGAAGACACAGTGCAAGACACCGTGGGGATGAGGGACAAAGTGGAATTGCAAGAAGAAAGCTGGAGGACACGAGGCCCGTTGTCTCTACTCCATCAACAATAATTAAATTCAAGTACACACAAATTATTTCCAAGGAGCCTTGGCAACTGCAATCCGCAAAGGGAACAAACCCTAATTGGCTGGGATCACTCCACAAAGGAGAAGTGCTTCAAGAACATCTCTATAGCACCAGCAGAACTGCTAAAGGTTAACTGAAGGAATTCTCCCTCCCTACATTGTTTCCTACAGATGTGGGAATAGAAAAATCATTTTTGAGAGCCTTAATGAAAAGCTGTTTTCATTTGTTAAGCAACAGGTGAAGTGTGCAATTGTTTGTTCTCACAGTGTTTTTATTTTAGTTTATTTTCAGATAGTTTAAAATGCACTTTTGCATCCACTGGACATCTTATAAAATCTCCAAAAGAACTTTGGCTTTTAGTATCCTTAGTTATACCTTCCTGTTAATTCTAAAATATTTGATTCTGAATGTCACGTGGTAACTTTCAGCAAATTATTAGACTATGATCTCAGGTCATTTTTGTAAAAAGTGAGACAAACTACTGGGTCAGTGCTAATAACTGCTTCTAATTGATCGTTAGTCTGCTTTCATGTCCATGCATGGTTTAATATCAGTACCCTTTGACCCACCAAGAAATTGTTATATAACTGCATTCTCACAATTTGGAGATAAAGCACACAAACCTAGAAGTGGAAAGAGAGTCTGAAGCTGAACACTTTGATTTAAAACCTAGCAACTCAGAAATTACAGGGCTTTTTTTTTGTTAAGAGAGAAATGAAAGTTAAGATGAAGCAATAAAGACATACAACATAGCAAAGCATATGGAAATTATTCATTGCACTATTATGGAAAACGTTTCCCCACCCTGCAAAAAAGACTGCATACAATATGGTTCTTAAAGTGTATAGATGACAAACTGGGGTGTTGTCCCCCCTCCCTTCTATTCATTTGCATTTTCTGATTATAATGGATTTTCTAGCAGTGTGTTCTGTGATTTAGCACAGATTTACAGTGAGGCAATTTTGCTTCAGTTATATCTATGAAGGAGATACAATTTAGCCATCTGAAGGAGAACTTCAATAGAAGAAGGAAGAAAGCCAAATAGGAGTCATCAAAGCAGAGGGGCTTTAAGGAGCTGCTTTTTTTCTCCCGTAAGAGGGCATGCAACAAATCCCACATTCTCCTAATTCACATTTGTAGTTTTTGTGAGATGCCATTCAGGTCTCTTAGGCCCCACCCAAACTGGTCTCTATTGCCTGCCTCTCCAAGTCTCTGTTGCCCCAGCCAACCTAGAGGTGCACAATGCTAGGAAAGAACAATGGCAACAGACAGAAGTAGGGCATAAGAAGAAACTGAGTGCAACAGCACACTCCCTGCCTGAGATTCCCAGCAACTGGTGTTTAGGAGCAGACTGCCTTTGCCAGTGGGGGCAGAACATAGCATGAAAGATTCATGAAGAACCAAAGGTTTCTAGCAACACAGTTTGAGAAGACTATAACCCAAGATAGTGGGGGGGGGATGAATATTGCTAAAGTCACAAAGAGCTTTTTGTTAATTCGGTTCAGCGTATTGTTCAACTGAAAAGATTCTTAACTTGGTCCTCCCACAGTGACCGCTCCCCACTTAAAACGGGGGGCGCCCTTTGCGTGGACGCGCGCAGCCCCTAGATCTGGAGCGGCTCCAACAGCATAGGCTTGGTTTGCCTTCCCTCAGGTGGGATACCTGGAGGTCTCCGCCTACCTCAGTCAGTTGTCCAATCCCACCTGGGCGAAGCGTTGCCAAGGAGACCAGGCCAGGTAGGGGAGGGATTACCTGCCCACACAATAGAGGGAGGATCTTACCTGGGAATCCTCACTTGGCTCCAGAGCTTCCCCCACCCTACCCACCCTCAGTAAATGTCTTATTTGCAGGTTAACTTTTCTTCGCAGGTATGCGGGCGCTGCTACGTTAAGGTCGCTGTTAAAGAGCCGGAAAGGAATTTCCCTGCATTGGCAGGTTTCGCCTTTCCCGTAGCAAAACGTCACAACTTTGGCGGTATCAGGCCTTGGGTGGAATCCTTTAGTCCATCTTGCTCTTTGCGGCAGCGATACCAGGGTTCCCCGTTAAAGGGGTTTCTGAAGGGAGCATTTGACCCTACGCCGAAAGGTCGTCATTGCTCTCCCCTGCGGCGGCAGCGTAACGGGGGCGGCTATCTCTGCTTGAACATATGTTCTCCAGAACCGCCCCATCCCCCCCCCCCCACTGGAGAACCCGGCTGCGCCCTAGGTCCCCGGCTGGGGACTGGGGAGGAGAACGCCAATGCCTGAGCCAAGGTCTACCCACATTTGAAATTTAATAAAGTTGTGGCCAATTTAATCCCATAGCACGTTGTCATGAGTCGTTATTCCACATGACGGGGGAACCGCGCAGGATCTGGGGACTCCGCCTGTCCGCGCAATAACTATCACCACTGAAGCTGGATCTGGTCTGTACATGCTGACGGTTTGTGTGGCACTTCCAGAAGTGGGCCTACACTGAGTTAATAGTTCTGTAGTTCAGTGGTAGAGTACATGCTTTGCTGCAATGGAGAAGGGCTGTAGCTCAGTCATAGAACTTCTGTGTTGCATTCAGAAGGTCCAAGGTTCAATCCCTGGCTTCTCCAGGTAGGGCTGAGAAAGTCCCCTGTCCAAAATCCTGGAAAGCAGGGTCGTTGTTCCCCAGCCCCTCCGCAAAAGGGTCATCATAGCCCTACACGAGACACACCCAGGGGTAGTAAGAATGAAGGCCCTTGCCAGGAGTTATGTGTGGTGGCCAGGGATCGACGGAGAGATAGAGGCCTGGGTCAAAAACTGCCAGGCCTGTAAAGAATCCCGCCCAGATCCCCCAAGGGCCCCAGTCCAGTCCTGGGAGTCCGCCCGAGCACCATGGTCACGCCTGCATGTGGACTTCGCTGGCCCCTTTCAGGGGAAAACATTCTTCATAGTGGTGGACTCCTGCACCAAATGGCTGTAAGTCGCACTGGTCCCGTTCACTTCTACATACGCAGCCATCCAGGTACTACACAGGCTGTTTGCAACCCACGGGCTCCCTGACACTCTCGTCTCAGACAATGGGACTGCATTTACGTCAGGAGAATTCCAAACCTTCACAGTGCAGAGCGCCATCCGCCACATCCGTTCGGCGCCGTTCCACCCTGCCACCAATGGCCAAGCAGAACGCATGGTGCGGACCACCAAGGACACCCTTCGCCGCATGACACAAGGGGATTGGGAGTACCGCCTTGCCACATTCCTTCTAGCACAGCACAGCACCCCCAGCTCAACGACTGGCCGGAGCCCCGCTGAACTACTAATGGGTCGGCGCCTTGCAATCAGATTGGACCGCCTTCACCCCGATAGAGCTCGGGATGAGGTAGTGGTGGGGGAAGGCAGGAACCCCCGGACCTTCGAGGCCCAGGACCCAGTGTACACAAAGAATTTTGGGGCAGGCCCAGCATGGGTACCTGCCACAGTCACCAGGGTCACTGGCCCCGTGTCGTACGAGGTGCTAACGGATGGGGGGCAATGCTGGCGCTGCCACTGCGACCAGATACGGCGACGATTCCCAGGAGAAAACCAGGAGGAGGACAGGTCAGAGGAGTCCCAAGGGAACAGCGGGGCAGTGAGGCTCTTAGAGCAGGAGGGGCCAGCAGGAGAGGCAGAATCAGTAAATACGGAGAGGACACGCGAGGCCAAAAGGACACCGGAACCAGAACCACGACTGAGCGAGCCGGTTGTGCCAGACCAAACAGCCCCATCACAGCCAGCATCCTTGAAACACAAGCCAGAACCTGAACCCCGGACCAGGGAACACCCCAGGCCGCAACGCACACGTAGGCCGCCGGCGTACCTTGAGGACTATGAATGTGAACTCCCGGGCAGGACTGGAACTTAGAGGGGAGGGGTGTTATGTACTGAGTTGAATAGGATCCAAACTGCAGCAGTCTGATTGGTCCTAGAACAATAGGATCCAAAACGCAGCAGTCTGATTGGTCCTAGAACAATAGGATCCAAAACGCAGCAGTCTGATTGGTCCTAGAACAATAGGATTCAGAATGCAGCAGTCTGATTGGTCCTAGAACAATGCAGCAGTATGACTGGTTGGCAGGAACCACCCAATCATTCTCCAGATAGAAGCGAATCCACAACCTGATTGGCTTACAGTAGAATTCCAGAATTATCCAATCATGTGCAGCCCATTGTGTAAATAATGTATATAAAGCAGATACTTTGAGGGGACATTCATTCATTCCTCCTCACCACTATGAGCTGAATAAAGAGCATGAAATCACTTTGCGACTCTGAGTATATTTCAGAGACTAACGGGGAAAGAGAGGATACTCCATGCCTGACGCAATTTAGACAATACTGAGCTAGATGGACCAGTGGGCTGACTCAGTATATGACGGCATCCTTTGCTGCAATGGGGAAGGTACCAGCAAGTTATTCTTACAGCTGCTGTGCAGCATATACTATAGTCTTTAAAACTTTGCTTTTCTCTGAGTTTTCCAGACATCAAAACCAATTTCACATTGACTAAGTTCACAAAGGAAATGAACAAGAAAGCTTTGGGATTGTTTGTGTCATTTGAAAGTGAAGACCCCTGTGACTAAAATTAACAAGACAGAGGCTCCTTTGCCATCATAAAGCATTTAGATTTGCTTAGCTTCCATTTTGATTAAAATGCCTCATGACAGCTTTATAGTATTAATTTCCAATTCACATACTCTCCTTTTAAATGTTTTCTTTGCAATATAAATCACATTTGCTCGCATTGCACCAGCCAAATACACAAAGGCACAGATAGATGGTTCAAATGGATCCTAAATCGCAAACATACTGTAACTGATCATGATTACCCATTGATTATTCATGGTGAGGGAAAGGAGCGTTCTGAATCCAGCATGGTGTTAGAAGAATGGACCAATAAAGGTAAATGACATTTAATTAAATGCTTTCTAAAGACAGTTTTCCCATTAGCCATGGAAAAGCCTAATGAGATAGTATGTGTGGTAACAATAATATTAATCTCATTAATCAGCTTCAGCAATCTTTTCATGTCAGCACTGGTTCAAGACATGTTGTTCATCTTTTACTGTAGGCTAGCCAAGCTGTGGCCCTCCACATGATGCTGTATCATCCCTGACCATCATCTGTGACTACTGGCCACACTGGCAGGAGTTGACAGGAGTTGTAGTTCAGCTGTCTCTGGAGAGACCACCCCTGCTTTAATGCCTTCAGCATGAAGTAGTAATTCACATGTGTAAAATCAGACACCACAGATAGCGCTGCCATAACACCCTGTTTCAGTCCTCAGCCACTGCCTTTCAGTGGAGTCAAGTCACATAATTTAGCTGCAAGTCGTCAAGGGATGAGTGATCGCATGATGTGCATGCATGTATGTGAGGGAGCATTTTAGAAATCTAGGGATGAAGATTTCATTTTTAAAATAATAATACAGCTAAAATACAAGTAATTAAATAACAACCCTATTAAAAGAATAGCACTGAAAACACTCGGAACTATTTAAAAGTAGGTAAAGGGACCCCTGACCATTAGGTCCAGTCGCGGAAGACTCTGGGGTTGCGGCGCTCATCTCGCTTTATTGGCCGAGGGAGCCAGTGTACAGCCATGTGGCCAGCATGACTAAGCCGCTTCTGGCGAACCAGAGAAGCGCACAGAAATGCTGTTTACCTTCCTGCTGGAGCGATACCTGTTAATCTACTTGCACTTTGACATGCTTTCGAACTGCTAGGTTGGCAGGAGCAGGGACCAAGCAATGGGAGCTCACCCTGTCGCGGGGATTTGAACTGCCGACCTTCTGATTGGCAAGCCCTAGGCTCTGTGGTTTAACCCACAGAGCACATACAGAAAAGCATAGTGACCACTGTTAGGCACCATCATATGAAGACAAGTCATGGTGGGCATATCTGGCAGGAGGTGTGGGCAGCAGGAGCACTCTAATAAGTACTGGGAGGCTGGGAGCCACTTTCCCTCATGGCCAGCAAGGTAGCATTGTAATTCTCAGATCCAGCCACCTGTTACGGATTTTTCTCAGACTTTTATTAAAGAACTGCAATGTTTCAAAAAGGCTCATTTTCTTCCTACAGCATCATGAATACTGGGCTTTTAGGTTTTTCCAATTACTTTCTCAGACAACAAGACATAACTCTGGGAAAAGAAACCTTTTTACTTTCTCTGGAAGTGATTAGAATTTAGGCACATCCTCCTCTATAAGTCAGGTGTAAGTCTGTAAGTCAGAATGAACTAGTTATTATATGATTCCAATTCCCTTTTGGCATTACGCTCAGTTGGGTGGCTGAAATTCAGACCAGCTTGCCACTTGCTGTGATGTTCAGATGCGGGGGGCGGGGGGGATGAAATGAAATTGGGAACCTTGGTCTGGTCTGCAGAGCATGGATTTGGTTATCCTTAGTGGAGCAGGATGGGGTGGAGCAAAATCAAATGAGTCTCTCCCAAAAAGGAAATGAATTTTGTGTGAGAAAGAGGGATCCACTGGAGGGTACTTTTTTCACTCTTAAAACAGGGGTGGGAAAATGTTTTTTAAACCGTTCTGGACAATCTTCCTAGGGCCACTTGCCAGCAGTGGGCAGAATAAAAGACAAAGCAACAAACATGCATGTTAGGTTTGCACAGTAGGCATGTTTCTACATACACATGGGTGCCAACACATTTTTGCTGTGGGTGCCCAGCCTCTGCCCCCTCCCCAACCACAGGATGCCATGCACCGCTGACCGACCACCCTGTAAAAAGCGGCAGGAAAAAAGAACACCTATTTTTCAGAGAGCAAAAACTTTCCTGAAAATGAAGTTTAGGGTTTGGCCCAGGAATAGCTGTGACTTTCTATGACCTGATAAGAGGGGTGGCTAGCTATAGCCTTTCTAATATTTTTGGACCATCAGTCCTGACTGTTGGTCATTCTGGCTGGGAATGACGGCAGAGGTGTTGGAGCCCGACAAGAAGTGGAGGAAGACTACAGGTTAACCAACCCTGCCTTATAACCTTTCCTTGCAAGGAATTGTGGTTCTATAACCCTCCGTTCCAGCCCTTGCCTCCCTCAGAGAAGCTTAGTTTCAGATGTTTCCTCCAGCAGTGAAATAAAATTTGTTTCGTAAAATAATAATGATCAAATTATGAATTAAAGAATTTCATTACATCTCAAGAAGCCGCTCTTTCAGATCAGACCTGAAATGATAATGTGTGTTTACTTGTCATGGCGCTCTACTGATCTGAAACTTTTATTTAATATTTCTTCTGTTGGAAATTAGCATCATAACTGCAGGATTTATATTTGCAAAACAGGAACTAAATTTTAATAATCAAGGTATGAATATATACCTTGAGTTGAAGGTGCCTTACTTGTGACAGGGCAATATTGGCTTTGAAAGCAAAGGTCCCTGAACTAATATGTTGACATATCAACAGAAGTCGCATAAATGCATCCCTTGCTGATGGCACATTATGCTGTCTTGACAGTCATAGCTATTCTTTAGTGCTAGTTTCTTTGTTCTGCATTTTCACTCTCCCAAATCCTTAACAAAAAGTAAGAGACTTTCATTATCCTGATGGTTGAAGACTGATGAGAAATAATTTAGTGAAGAGT